TTGGGCTGCTTTTTGTTAAATAAATCAGAAATAAAAGGTTCTTAGGTCCAATTTCATTATATATACAAGCATACTACAAAAGGTAATACAATCCTAAATTGCATTAATGATAGTACTTGTAAAAAAAAGTTAGAGATTTTTTTATTGTATAATATGCTATTTTGAGTTAAAATCATAAACTTTACATGTTAATTATATGCAGCGTACATATACTTGGAGACCCAAGTTCTATGCTAAGGCTAGGAGAGAATTTGACAAAAAAGCTGGGGACCGACTTAGGGGCACATTGAACCAAGTTTACAAAATGGCTCTCCATAAGCAAGTTAGTTTCATGACTGACACTGTTCGAGCTGAATTCATAAATAAGCGTAAGCATCCTGATTTTCTGAAACCTTCTAACCAAGCGAGAGATAATCAGTTATCTGGCCAAACATATCGCCAAGGTAGCGTATCTACTCCTCAAGTGGTTAAAAAAATGGTAAGTGTATGATTTTAGCAGCAAACTTATGATTTTTAATATAAGATAGAAGCAAGTAGAAACTTTTTAGCCACTAATAGAGATGACTATAACTGGTCTTTATTACAATTGCTCAATAGTCTATGTTCCCCTATTTTTTGTTTTTTTTTTTTTTAGTGCTAACAACTTCTTTTATTACAATTGCTCTGTAGTCTATGATCTCCTATTTTTTGTTTTTTTTAGTGCTAACAACTTCTTCTAATACAAGGCTAAGAAAAAGGATGGAATTTTACCAACTGCTGCTGCTGAAGTCTATGAGAGCACTCATTCTGTTTGTGTGGGCAATGATGAAGTTGAATTGATGGGTGACACGTCTCAAAAAGTCATGGTATGAGTATACTTCTATATTTTTCTAAGATTACAAAAAAATATGTGGTAGTTAATGTTTGGAGATATTATGGATTGTTTATTTGTTTGTGTGATTGAGTTGGAGGATGAGAATGATTTGCCGGCGTTAATCATATGATTAATGTGGTGTGGCATAATGTGAATTGAAACAGGTTTATTTTGAAGCCATACCCTATAGGAGGGAATTCTTCAATTTACAAAGGAGACTCTGTCGAAATTTTTACTAATAACTGCTTACATAAATTATCTTGTTATAAGTGTTGCATTTTTTATTTTAAATTTTTTTTTAAAAATGTATTTAGTTTATTTAAGTTTTAACATTTGAGATTATAGTTACTAATACATATCTTAATGCAGGGATAATATATGGAAAAACTTGAGGAATATAAGAACAAAGGAATTGAGATAAACCCCGACAAAGTCTACTTGGATGTTGTAGGTGGGCAAAAGAAAGGAAAAGTCTATGGTTTAGGGAGTGCCTCACAAATGTATTACAAGAGAAATCCTACTTCTCAATCTACTGCATCATCTTCCACTCCTTCCATGATTTCTCAATTAAGCTCTCAAGTTCAAGAACTAAAGAAGATGGCGGAAGAAAACCATAACAAGGTAGAAGAAAGCCAAAAAATAGCGGCAGAGAGCTTAAAATATGCTAAGGAATTCGTCGAAAATCATGAGATCGAAAAAGCTACATGGAAGAAGGAAAAATTAGCTATGGAAAAAACATTGCAGGAAATGACATCACTTGTCAAACAATGTTACCGTCCTTGTAAGCCTCCTACGCCTACAGTCACCCGCTCTTGTGATACAACTAAGTGATTTTTATTTTCTTGGTGGTAATTTTATGAACAACTGGTCTTTTACATTGTCATTAGTTCTTATTTGAAGTAGCTTTTTTTATACGGGAGGTGACTTTTTAAACAGTTAGTCATATGAGTTAAATATTGTTTTTTAATACATTGATACAAAATTGATTATATTTTGGATATTTAAATAAAATTAACATTTTGGTTATTTGAATTTATGCGTGGGTATCTTTTTTTTTATTTGTGATTAATATTGGTCGTCGCTTAATTATGGTCTCAAATATTGATAGTCAGTCTCAAATATTTAGCGACTGCAAATTTGGTTTAGAGACTAATTGGTTAGTTGCAAAATCATTAGTCTCAGTAGTCGCTAAGTCGCTAATCTGTCACAAATAATTAGTTTTGTAGTCGCAAAAATTTGGTCTCGTATGTAATTGCTAATCCGTCGCAAAAAACATTAGTCTCAATAGTCGCAAATCCCCATATCCCTACTTACCCTACTACCCTCTCTCCTATAAATACCCCATACATCCCCAAAAATTTCCCCACACAAAGGTTAGTCTTATTTTCTTTCTCCTTTGTTTTATTAATTTGTGTAATTATAATTATTGATTTTGGGTTTTGATTTTATTGTTTGAAATTAATTTAATTAGTATCAAATTGTATTTTGATGATTAAACTTTATAATTTCAGATTTTATAAATGTTATAATTTTCAGATTTTGTAAATTTAATAACCTAGGGTTTTTAATCATTGAAAATCATGATTTTAGGGTTTTTATGAACAATCGATTTAGGGATTTTATAGTAATGATGTTTTGAAATTTTGGTGATTATACTACTAATTAGTTTAACTTAATTCCAGATTATTTTGAACACGTAAATTCGTGTTTTAATGTTTAGATTTTGGTTCGTTAATATTAATCCGGTTTTAATCCCAATCAGGTTCTGAACTCATCCGATTTTGACAAGAAAGGAGTGTTTTCCATGTGGAAACAATGTTTTAAGAAAGACTCACTACTTTGGTAGTGAGCACTACACTCTCGTGGCCAAATTCAGCCTTTAAATATGATTTTCGGGTAGTTTTTGATTTTTAACGAAGTTTTTTTATGCTTAATGTTTATAATTAGTTTTGGGTTTTGATTTTATAGTATAAAGTTTATATTTTTAGTATCAAAATCATGTTTTTATGTTTTAAACTAATAATTTCAGATTATAATTGTTGTTATAATTTTCAGATTTTATAATTTTAAAACCTAGGGTTTCAATTTATTTAAATTGGGATTTTAGGGTTCTTATGACTAATTAAATTGGGGCTTTTGTTCCTATTGTATTTCTAATGCATAATTAACCATAAAAACATGTTTTTAATGAAGTTTTAAGGAGTTTTAATCTAAATTATATTGCTGGAAATTTGGTTAAGTATTAATTTATTATTGTTGCTTGTTTTCTAGGAAGTGATTATTTCTTAGGAGACTTTTAAGTGATTAAAAGTGGCACAAAGGATTGTTTATATGAGGTACATACATGTCTACTTCTTTGTAAGTAGTATCATGTCTAGGTACCAAAGAAAAGAACTTAGTTTCATGATTAGAGAACACTTGGATGAAAATTGTTTGGTTATACATTTAATTAATTCATGTGCTTATGTTTATGAGACATGTTTTGGTGAATTGATTATGTTTGTATGGAATTATGGATGCAAACATGTTGAATTATATTGGATTAATTGTTTGTATGGAATGTTGATACATGCATATTTTTATTGGATCGGTTTGTTAACCACATTTGGATTATTAAAGGATTGAAATTGAATGGTTTAAGTGGAGTGAATTTATTAATTATTCCATAAGGTTGTTATTTATTTTATTACTCGAGCATGACTTGTTAGTATGTTGAGTAAAAGTGGATTAAGCCGAAATGGCTAGGTGGGTTGACTATGTTCAACAATTTTGAATAATTTGGAAGTTTAATGGAATTAAAGGTCAATTTGTGATGTGATCACCATTGTCCTAAATAAAATTAAAAGTGAATTGATGTATGATTGTTATGTATGGTCTTCTTGATTGAGTCGGCTATTAATTAAAATTGTAATCACGTAAAGTGAAACATGGATGAGCAATAAAACTCTGGAAAGCGTGCACTTCTAGAGTATTGACAATTATGGGTTGGGGTACACGGTGGTAGCCCGTGGCTTTTCGAGGCTTGTTTGATCAACATGTCCTCTTCTCTTTTGGTATTTACATTTTTATTTTATAATGAAAGTTAGATGGGATCCTAGACTAACTTTGTGAGAATGGAGTCGCGCCCATTCTTGCATCGCGCTAAACTTTTATTTTAAATGATCATTTGGGACCAAAATGATTTGGTGGATTGGACAACCTCGTCTATTGCTTACTCCAACTAAATTAATTAAATTAAATATAAAGAGTCAAGTGTTTGGAATTTATTAGCAAGTATGTTGAGTCGTTTGAATTGTTTAAGTGTAGAGTCTTGATTAATGAATTCGAGTTGTATATTTATTTACTTTAACTAGTTGAGCATGCTAGATTTTGTGCGTTGTAGCTTGTATGTACTCAGCTTTGCTGATTGCGTGCTTTTGTGTGTTTTCTTTTGGTCATGGCCTTCGCCTTTCAATGACCCTGTGATGATCCAATTATTACACTTGTATTATCGGGGAGCAATATTGCACAGGTTAGCTTGATGATGTGAAGTTCGGGGATTTGACATACGCATTGTCAAGGGATTGGTGTGATTGAGAGTATTCGTTATTTGTGTTGAACTTATTTATGTTTTACTAATTTAATTATGTTTTGGGATTTCGGAATATTGGTTTGGTTTTAATAAGGGCCTTTATGGTTCCAATTTGTAAGCTTTGACTTATTGGTTTTCTAAATTATATTATTTTAATATTTAAGTTGGATTTCCGCTGCAATACTTTGATAAAGCCTTAACGTTTTAACACGTGGCGGTAACATGCCAATGGTTCTCCTCTATTTTTATTTAAAGTAAGTGGTTTGGAAAAGGGAGAATTATTGGGGTGTTACAAGTATGAGTATGAAAAGTGTTATATACACCCAGGTACACCGTGCACCCATTAAATTAATTTTTGTCCTTCATTTGATGATTGTTAACACCCGTGTGTATATAACTATCTTTGTCGAGTACTTGCTTGATTCAAACCCCCTCCCCCCCCCCCAAACCGCTCGTCCTTGGTCTAGGGTTCTTGTCCTTGCCTAAGGTTTGTTGGCCTTAATTTCGTGTGAATTTTTCAGTAACTAATACCTTGTGATTTCTGGTTTTCAATTCATTTTTTGTTCTACCTTGAGAATGGCTGACGACTTAATAAAAGAATGGGAGAAACTTCAATTGACAGAGGATGAGAATGTTGTGATTGGGTTTCTACCTCCTGCGGTTACGACTGATGAGAACAATTCATCCCAACTTCGTATGGCGCTCGTTGAGAAGTTGTGTACTGTGAAACCTTTTAATGTTGATGCTATGAAAAAAACCTTGGCTAATGTGTGGAGATTGAATGATGACATCGTCATCAAGATGTTGGATACAAATCTGTTTATCTTTCAATTTTCTAGTGAAGATGACAAGCAGCAAGTGGTTGATGGCATGCCGTGGTTTTTCGATGATAAATTACTATTACTCGGGGAGATTAATGGTAATGAACAACCGTCTGAGATTACAATCAACCGAAATCCTATGTGGGTAAGACTCATTGATGTTCCGTTCAATAAACGAAGCCATGGTGTATTGAAGGAAATCGGTGACTCTCTGGGTGGATTTCTTGAACTAGATAAGTCAGACCCACTTAGTTTGGGCAAATTTGTTCGAATTAAGGTGATGGTGGATGTTCACAAGCCGTTGAGGAGGGGCCTATTTCTTGCAACAGGGGGCTCGAAGCCGAAGTGGATTGATATCAAGTTTGAGCGTCTATCTGATTCTTGCTATTATTGTGGTCTCCTTGATCACACTGATAAGGAATGCGAAAAGAAGGAAACGGAGGAAGGTACAAAGGCTGAAGTAGTATACCAATACGGACCTTGGATGAGAGCTTCTCCATTGAAAATCACCTAATCTACTCAAGCTTCCAGAGATATGGAGAAAAAGTTTTATGATAAGTTGTGCTCAAACAAAGGTGGTCGCAAAATACTATATAATGATCCCGATGCAATAAAATTAGGTCCGGTTGGGGCTGCTAGGAAACTCAAATTTGCGTCGCCAAGGTCTGATGATAGTGATACTAGCCCTCGACAGAGAGAAGCTCGATTGGTGTTAGTGACGAATGAACATTCTCAAAAACTTGTTCTTCGTCCAAGAAGTGTGAATGCTGATAGTCAAGTGGAAGCAATGATAGATGGTGCTAATTTTGAGAATGTGGTTAGGGGTGAGGAAGCAGTTAGTGTTTGTAAGGGGGCAAGGGGAGGGGGCGTGATTACTAATACTGAAGGGCCAAGCCCTTGTGATGTTGAACTTAATAAAAATGTGAGTGTAGGGTTGTTAGTCAAAAATAAAAACACTAATGGGAAAAAGGGGTGGAAGAGAGTGGAGAGAAATGGTGATGGGGATTCTGTGATGGGTGATGTCAATCACTTAAATAATAGCAGTGTGGGGTCTAAGAGAGGGGCTTAAGTAAGGAGTAGTGGAGAAGATAAGGAGGAACTTTCTGCCAAAAAATCAAAAATAATAAAAGCTCATGATAACTCAGTTGCCGGTGACGGGGTAAATCAAGTAGAGGGGTGTGGTGTAATCCAACCCCTCGAAGAGCAATGAAAATATTGAGTTGGAACTGTCAAGGGCTTGGCAACCCTTGGACAGTTAAAGCTCTCTACGATTGGTGCCGGAGAGAGAAGACAAATATAGTCGTTTTAATGGAAACTATGATTGATGAGGATAAGTTGGTTATAGTTTGGAATAGATGTGGTTTTACTGATGGTATCTGTGTTAGTAGTAGAGGTAATTCTGGGGGTATGGGCTTTTGGTGGAGGGATGTGAAGGTGAATGTGAGTTCCTATTCAATCCACCACTTTATTGTAGATGTTTGTGATCATGAGAATAATCCTTCTTGGAGGGCGGTTGGGGTGTATGGGTGGCCGGAACAAGAAAATAAACATCTCACTTGGGCAATGCTCCGAAGAATCAAAGCTAGTAGTAATCTTCCTTGTGTAATGTTTGGAGACTTTAATGAGATCTTGAGCTTAGAGGAGAAGGAAGGTGGAGTTCCCCGTAGTGAGTCTCTTATAGATGCCTTCCGAAATGCTATAGATGATTGTGGAATGAGGGATTTGGGGTATAAGGGCAGCATATTCACTTGGAAGAAGGGTAACTCCATGGCAACGTGGAAGAGGGAGAGGCTTGATCGATTTCTTGCGGATGGTGCTTGGTGTAATATGTTCCCACACTTCAAAGTACACCACTTCCCAATCTATAGGCCGGATCATGCCCCAATTCTAGTGAGTACAATCAATTATTATGAACGCGGAAGAAATGGAAAATCATTCAAATTTGAACCATGGTGGCTATTGATGAGTCTATTTTATATATATTTTATTCCCCGTCTCACGGTCATATTTGTGCTTATTTGAGCTCCACGGAGCTATTTTTATTACTAATATACGTTGTCTAGTGTTTTTGTAGAGAATGGTTTTATTTTGTAGGAATTTGCGGAATTATGATAATTCCCGAGCTTATTGAGCCACTACAAAGATATTGGAGTTGGATCGTATTTTATGACCGGACATTTTAGCCCAAGGCTGAGTTAGAGAAATTTAATTCGGTGATTAAGGGCTCAGCTAAAGAAAAGAGGTTCAAAGTTACCGCAAGAATTACGGACCAAGCTAATTGAAGGCTAATTGTTAAGTGAGCAAGGTTAAAATCCAAGGCCCAGTTCCCGATCGGGCGAGTATGCCGCAAGTGCAGTTTAAGTTTGTGGAATTGTTTGTTATTAGTGGAGCTTTTGTTGCTGCTATTGGTCTGCTGGGCTTGATGCAAACAAAGCCCGAGTACGTAGGCCTTGGAAGAGTTAATTTCTTAGTTTTAGACTTTTAGTTGTGTCAGGATTTTCTTTTTCTTAGTTTATCTTAGTTAGTAGTAATTTTAGTTTAAGTGGGATTTGCCATCCTTACTTTCCTTATAAAAGGATTCAGTAGTTAGTTTTCTGAGTTGGGTTCTTCTTATTAATTTGGTTTATACTTTAGTTTTATTTAGTTTTAGTTTGGCTCTTTTATTTGTTTACCTATACTTTATACTATTCTTCTCTTTATCTTAATTCTTGCTTTAACTATGCTTTATTTAATTGTTTTGATTAGTTTAGTTTCTATTATGTGTGAGTAGTTTTATTTCTAGGGTTTATGGGGATCTAATAAATAATATGAAGGGGTAATTTATTGTTGTTAATTATCAATGCTAGATTAATTTCCTATTGATTGATTTAATGCTCTGTGACTAGATTAGGCCTATCTTTTATGCATGAGTTTGACAATATTGATTCAAGATTCGAGAGATGAGAATTAATGTTTAGGTCTAGTTTCAATAGGCAGATTAATTTATAAATGGTTAAGTCGAGATTCGAGAGATGAGATTTAATACCGGTAAATTAATTATGTGATTGTAATACGTAGCGAAAGCCCTTTACAATCTGATTAACTGATGCATTGGTGATTGACTATTATTGATTATTGGTATTGCATGATAATTTCTTATTGGATTGTTTTAATGTTTTGCAATTGCGGCTTGTAAAAGTATAGCAATATTAAATTGATGAATTGAGTAGATGTTAATTTGATATTAAAGGCTATTTTCAATAAGAACTAGATCTAGTAAATTGCGAGAGCCTGTTAGATCTATGTTGATTAATAAATTGCGAAAGCCTGTTAATCATGTTATTTATGCAATGTCAATGATTGATTACTATGTTTTACCCTGGAGTATTATTTATTGGTGAACCTATGCCCTACATCCTTTTATATATTGTTTTCTCCCTATTCCTATTCTTTGTAGTTTAGTTTCATTCTCAAACATAAATATTGGTTACTTAGATAATTTAGATTATAATAATTAATTAGGAGTAAAAAGACTTGTTTCCTTGTGGAGATCGACCCTACTTCCCTATCTACTTTAGTTAGAGGATTTAGGTATTTACTTTTGATTAGGGGATACGACTTTACCCTGTCAGCTATCTAATGAAGAGTGCGAGAAGGTTGTTGAGGAGGCTAGCTTGGACCGGTTGTATAGGCTCACAGGTTGCTGGCCGAATTGCTATGTGTGCTGGCAGCTTATCTTCTTGGTCGAGACGTCACCGCTTTGGTGACGTGAAGAAAAACATTAAAAAAACAGAAGGCAGACTCCAAGAAGTTCAGAAAATGGATTCGGATGCCAATATGCTAGAACAATGCCGCACCTTGTCTTGTAAACTTGATGAGCTTCATAGAATGGAGGAATCATATTGGTTTGCCACGCTAGGGCAAATGATCTCAGAGACGGGGATAAAAACACTGCATATTTTCATCAAAAAGCAAGCAATCGACGGTGTGTGGAGGGAGAAAAAAGAGGAGCTCGAGGGGACCATTGCTGCATATTTCACCACTCTTTTTCAGACTTGTAATCCCACGGATTTTGAGTCTGCTCTTATGGGCATTGACAATAATGTGACAGACGTGATGAATGAGAGCTTGTGTGAGGAGCCTACTATAGAAGAGATTAGATTTGCCTTGTTCCAGATGCACCCAAATAAGGCCCCGGGCCCCGACGGTATGCATGCTTTATTTTATCAAAATTTCTGGCATATTGTTGGGAATGATATCTGTTGTTTTGTGAAGAACTGGTGACGGGGGGAATTGACCTTGAATGAAATTAATAAGACTTGTGTGGTTTTAATTCCAAAATGTGATGACCCTAAACGTGTGGCCGAGTTTAGACCCATAAGTTGCTGCAATGTTGTATATAAAATTATCTCGAAAGTCTTGTCGAATAAACTGAAGCCTTTTCTCGATAAAATTATCTCCATCAATCAGAGTGCTTTTATCCCGAAAAGGCTAACTACTGATAATGCCCTTATTGCTTTTGCGATTTTTCATGCTATGAAGAGAGGGGGTGAAGGGAAAGATGGGTCAATAGCTCTGAAATTGGATATGAGCAAGGCATATGACAGAGTTGAGTGGGGTTTTCTGGAAAGAGTTATGTATAAAATAGGGTTCTGCGACAGTTGGGTTTGAAGGATTATGGATTGTCTGTCAAGTACTCAAGTGTCTCGTTTGCGTTTAAAATTAATGGGAAAATTTCTAGCTATGTGGTCCCAACAAAGGGTCTTCGACAAGGTGACCCTATATCTCCCTATTTGTTTCTCATTGTTGCTGATGCGTTCTCGACAATGTTGTCCAAGGCTGCGAATGATAGATTAATCCATGGGGCAAGAGTGTGTAGGGGAGCCCCCCAGGGTATCTCATTTAATTTTTGTCGACGATAGCTTACTTTTTGCTAAAGCTACTGTTAGTGAGTGCTCGCTGATAGCTGACATTATTAGCAAGTATGAAAGAGCATCCGGTCAAAGTGTCAATCTGACAAAAACAGATGTGATCTTTAGCAAAGGTGTAATTGAATCCCGACGACGTGAAATTGTGGATATTTTGGGGGTGAGAGAAGTTGATAAACATGAAAAGTACTTGGGATTCCCAACATTCATTGGGAAATCGAAGAAAGCAATTTTTGCCGCATTAAAAGAGAGAATTTGGTGGAAAATCCAAGGGTGGAAATAGAAGCTCCTATCTAGACTCGGAAGAGAAATTTTGATTAAGGCGGTTGCCTAGGCGATACCGACTTATATGATGAGTATTTTCAGAATTCCAGAGACATTGATTGATGAGATTCATGCATTACTTGCTCGATTTTGGTGGGGGTCTACAGAGACTACGAGGAAAATGCATTGGCACAACTGGGATTCTTTGGGTAAACCAAAATCGATGGGGAGTTTGGGATTTAGGGATCTCAAAGTGTTTAATCAAGCTCTCTTAGCTAAGCAAATGTGGACACTCTACAACAACCCAAATCCGTTGCTCCATGCAATACTCAAGGCCCGTTACTTCAAAAATAGTTCAATTTTGGAGGCTTACCGTGGTCATGACCCATCATACTCATGGAGGAGTTTATGGGGCAGCAAGGCTCTGCTTTTGGATGATCTTAGTTGGAGGGTAGGGAATAGAAGGGATATTAGGGTGTGGCTTGACTCTTGGATCCCCGGAAATGTGATTCCTACTCATGACACCAATTTCGACACAGAGCTATGAGTTGCAAATTTAATTGATCAACAATGTGGTGAATGGAAGATGGAGGTGCTGCAACAATTGTTCTCAGATGAGGTATGTGACCACATTATGCAAATCCCTTTAGCTCTAAATCTGCCAAATGATGCTAAGTTCTGGTGGCCTACCAAACATGGTAATTTTCTGTGAGAACAGCATACTGGCTGGGAAAATTAGGGGCTGCCAGATGAGGAACGATATAGGAAGCTCAAACGATCTTGTTTAGCGTCTTATATGAGGTATTGATGGTCCTCCAAAGTTGTGCCACTTTACTTGGTTTGCTTGTAAAGGTAGCTTAGCTGTAAAACATGAACTTCATCGAAGACATATTGCCTCGGATGCGATTTGTGATGGGCGTGGGGTAGAGGTGGAATCAATTGCTCATGCTCTTTTCGAATTTATTGAAATCCAGCAGGTATGGGTGGTCAATGAACTTGCCACAATTATTGCAGAATCCCCTCGTCAAGCTCCTTTCACCGAGTGGTTGCTTTGGATGGCTGAGAAGGTTGATAAAGGAAACCTCAGGAATGTATTGACTATTGCGTGGGCTATTTGGTTTTGCAGAAACAAACGTGTACATGATAATGCATCTCTTGATGTTACTTTTGTTGCTGCGGGTTTTACTAGAATGGTGCATGATTACAGGTTGTATGCTGCCAAAGTCTTTAAGCCATTAGGCTGTCCTACTGCTGCTGCTGTTAGCAGGTGGGTTCAGCCTCCCTAGGGTGTTGTAAAATAAAATATTGATGCTCACATAGGTGATGGAACTGTTGGGGGTTTAGGAGTGGTGGCGAGGGACTGGAATGGTACCATTTTGTGGGCTGCTGTCAAGAGAACTGCTGCGAACATGAACATTGAAGTAGTTGAAGCAGCAGCGGCTCGCTATGGCTGCCAATTGGCCTTACGCTTGGGTATTGACAAGGTATGGATCGAAAGTGATGCGGTGAATGTGGTCAATAAGGTGCGCCAACTCGTGGATGGATGCTCCCCAATTTGCTTGATTTATGATGATATTGTTCGGCTTAGTAAATCTTTTCATGTGTTTAGCTTGTCTCATGTACGTAGAGCAAGTAATACGGTGACCTATCTCGTAGCTAGGTGGGACTCTCAAATTTGTGCTGAATTAGTTTGAATGAGCAACATTCCGCAAGGCATTATAACTTTAGCGGACCTTGATTTAATATAAATCCTCCTAACGTATTCCCTCATAAGAAAGAGTACTTGCTTGATTGCTTCCACTCACTCATAAAATAAAGATATTACTCCGTAACTATTATAGTTGGGTTTGGGTGGCCGACTGGCCGATAAAAAGCTTGTAAAGTGCCACTTTTCCCTACTCCCACTCTCTCTCCTCCTTATATTATGCTCCGGTCATTACCCCGCCCTCCAATCTTTTCCCGTCCACCAATGTCACGCTCCGCCGTATCCCCCGCCGGAACCACCGTCGTCGCCACCACCGGAAACTCAAAAGCCAGGCTAAGAGGCGTGGTGTTTGACATGGACGGCACTCTCACTGTTCCAGTCATTGATTTTCCGGCAATGTACAAAGCTGTTTTGGGTGAAGAACAGTACAATTCAATGAAATCACAGAATCCTTCTGGAATTGATATTTTGCATCATATTCAGACTTGGAATCCTGTTCAACAGCAGAAAGCTTATGAAATTATCGCCGATTTCGAGCGCCAAGGTCTTGATCGTCTCCAGATTATGCCCGGTTAGTCTGTTTTCTAATTTTGTTTTTAATGAATTTGATAAATTATGAGTATAATGTTTGATGATAATTCTTGGCGTTTATATTAATAAACTGGAGATTATTTATTATACTACCTCCGTTACAGGTGATGTGCAACGATTTGACATAAAGCAGAGGGGGAAAATATCTAATCGTTGCACATAACCTGTAACGGAGGTAGTAATATTGCCGGTTTTAATACTGTGTTATTGTAACTTATATTTTTTTTTAAATTTTTTTTTTATTGAGGTGTTGGTGGTAGAACATGACTTCGTTTAACGAATTATTTCAATTTAATCTGTTTTAGCACATACTTTGTACCTTACTTGACACCGGTACACCGGAGTAGAACACAATGAAACGGAGGTAATATATTTCATTGTTCACTTTTATAATGGTGTAGTTGGCATGTGTGTTGCCTAGACTCTTCATATGACATCGAGTACCCGTGTCGAATTGTTAACACTTTGATAGGGGTATGGACACTTGATGCTAAATATGTTACAAATTATCGAGTCTGAATAACATAAGTGATCACCTTCTAATGTGAGAGTTTGGTTGACGTTATGCTAAAGCAGTCAAAATTTAGACAAATTCATTATTGGACAATTGAATTATGAGCTAGTTGTTACATTTTAAAGCTGTATGTAGGCTGTACCTGTGTTCTGAGTTTAAATTCTGGAGGATTCACTATTCGTTCTGACATAAACTGACTCATCTCGTTTATAGTCCCTTACAGAAAGCTTGCTTAAGGCTGTTTTGATGTGGGGATCGATTGTATGATTTAGGACGTATTTGTCTGTGCTATTGGATTTCTTCATTATACCTTGGTTATTTGTGTCAAAATGTTGACACTGACACATTTTGGACCAATTACATGCATTTTTCTCACAATGTAGCTAAGTCTGACTATTGGATATGTACCTGGTACCAGTGCTGAGTTTTAGCCATAGGATATTATTTTTCCAATGCGATAATTTTGTTGATGGTATAATTTTAAGTTTTAAATATTTAGTTGAGTCCATTATTGGATAACTAAATCATGAGCTGGATGCTACTTTTTAAAGCTGTTCATATGTCGTATCTCTTTTCTACGTTTTAAAGTCTAGAGAATTTGCTCTCTCTTCTATCTGTGATAAATCCTAACTCACTACAGTTCAGAAAGCTTGCTCAGGCCATTAAGTATGTTCTGTGGGAATCAATTGTGTGAGAAAGCAGAAATTAAGTGAATAAGCATAAGCATGTGTTAAGTTCTTAGCCTCTTAGGGGTGGATATATAGTTCATATCTGAGAGTACTATTAGTGTGTAGCACACTCTGTGACAACAGTATGCAGGGAGAATTAATGCGCGTATGTTTTATGCTGTAGTGTCAGTACTGAACTGGGGAATCCAATGGGTGAATGGATTAAAACTTACTGGGATTTTTCATAATTATCTTATGCACATTGTTCATCTTACCAAACCTATTTGCTGCTGTAACTTGCACTGCTGCACATCTTATTCCTGATTCTTTTCTCAAAAATCATACTGGAATCCTGTGGAACTGCTTTGGACTCGTCATAAACAAATAGCTAGTGTTTAGTGGTTTCCCCATGCCCCATGCAGCAGAGTTTAGACAGTAACTTGTGTTAATGCCACTGGCATCAAATGTTCAATGCTTCCTTTTAAAGTATGCTGTACCAAGACTACTATGCGATATAATTTTACCTAATGACATTATCTTTTAATAGCACTTAGGAAATTATCTTTGATAATCTAACAACTTTGATGATCCGCCTATAACAATTAATTAATTACGCATTATCTATCAAGAGTAAAACACTCTTCTAATCTTGTTATCTAAGACATAAAAGATGCATTAATAAGTGCACCTTCTGATGGTGCATGCAAAAGTAAGATATTTTCTGATGAATAGCTTTAAATATTCTGTGTGTAAATAAACCATTGCTGTCCCTACTGATGTTCATTGGGCTGTATCTTCTGATGGTGAGTTTGTAGTAGAAAAATTACAGAGGTTGGAACCAAGAACTAAAGAAATAATGGTTCTTGAAGAGTTTATGAGACTGGATAGTTAAGTGATCCATGAGCAAATGTAGAACTGATTAGGAAAGGCGTGCTATTATTTTGGTAAGTAAGCTGTATATAATTTATTTAAAGGCCTAAAGGGAAGGTATTTAGGAAATGATGATTTTGAAGGAAAGTGAAAGAATGGTACTGAGTAGAAGTTACTTTAGTGAAATGCAATTATGGCAATTAAATGGTGTGTGTAGTTGGAGGCATTTTCACTGATCCGTTGTTTTATCAGCTTCTTTGTGGGCTAAGGCGGTTGGGGCTTTCGCAAATTGCTCCATTAAGAGACTTACAGAGGAATTTAGCTAACTTGTGGAGTTGACTTTCAGTCTGTTTTGAAGACACATTGTCTTCTTTATGAACTTAATTTGGTTTGTGCAGTTTTATACGAAGTAATATTTTTCTTCTTATCAAAACAAAAAAAATAATGATAACTTGAGTTGATGATAAGTATCGTATGTTGATGGGAGGAAAAGATCCAGGAGATTGGGTGAAGGACGTTAAACCTTTCTGCCTTCTTGCAGTCATGGTTGTATAAATTGTAGTTTATTGCATCAATCATCAAATGCTTGGCCAGTACCAATGGAAATCTTGCATGGCTTGTACTGCCAAAAGTTGTCTCCAGTTTAAAGCCAATTGAAGCAAATATTCAATTGTTCCATCTGATTGGAGTATACCTGTAGAACTCGCTGTGGACATGTACATTTTTGTATTCATAATCCATGTGTTGGGGCTGCATGCGTTCTTTGACAGCATACTAATTCCCATGCAACAAGACAGATTTTCTTTTTGCAATATTCTAATAGTTACGGTATGTTTAACAGTGTAATGACTGAGAACAAAGCTGGCAAATAGGCTGGGTAGAGATTGTGTTGGTCTCTTATCTTATAGATTGTTGGTGACTCTCTATCAGTATAAGGTCATACATTGAGGTAATGGAAATACTCTGTAATAGTCATTTTTCTGTAATTTTGCACAGTATATTCATGTTTGACCATGGTAAATTGGATTTCTAACCCCAATTCTCTTTTAGTATGAGGTCTTACATAGGTAATGGAAAAGATAATCATTTTTGTGTAATTTTGCGTGGAAATTTCATGTGTGACCTTGTTAATGGATCTCCAACCCCAATTCTACCCAATTGAAACTTTTTATGTTGCTAAACTTACCATAGTTTAGATGTTGTTTTGATTCTATAGAGCTATATAAAGTTTTAATTCTGACTAGTACTAAGTGTGAGTGTAGGTGCGGCACAACTTTGTGGTTTCCTCGACTCAAAGAAATTAAGGTAACTTCAACTTGCTTTTATCTCCTATTCAGTTCACGGAATTGTTATTTGATTTTTTTAATACTTTGTGGGAGCAAGTGGTGTGTATAGCTTTTCTTTGGGCTTACAATCATGAGATTTTCCCAAACATGTCCTTTTCAAATGTGTTACAAATTCAGAGTTTTTATTTTATTTTTATTTTTTATTTTTGTTTATGTGACTTGATTATTGGTAGACAAGGCCCTTCCTTTAATCTTTATGTTTTCTATTGAATGAATTTTGTTTTTATTCCAAATAATTCTTTGAGTTCTGATTTAAATATCTTGACTTTGAACAATTAGAAGACTAGGATTTTAAGATGTAGGTTTCATGTTGACTCATATAGTGAATAGTGATTATGACAAAGTGATGTTCTTGTGCCTTATTTAAGAGTAAATAGTGTAAATGGGGTTAGTAGGAGTGAGAAATAATAAAATAGTAGTGGGTCCTTACCAAATAAGGATATGGTATAAAGAAGTAGAAATCAATTGGGAGTTTTAAATAATAGGAATGATAGCTTATAAATTGATGTTCGATTTTTGATTTCGATTCTTAGTTGAAATAAAAATTAGGGCTTTATGAAATGGAGGGAATTGGTGGTGTTTTTCTAATTGTAATTGCGCAACTTAGGGTTATGAACACATTGTTTATGGCTTAATAATTACAAAATTAGGGTTCTTACTTGAAATATATTTGGAGCTTGCAAGTTAGGGCAATGTATACATTGTTTATGGCTTAATAATTTTTTTTAATTTTTTCAATTGCAGCATGTCCATTCATGAACAACTTTAATTGAAACATCACAATAAAATCTACTTTAAAAAGCCCAATTTACAATAATATCTCACTGCATTGTTCATATGCTTCGAATTACCAGACAATTCAAAAAAGTCGATATATATTTTTTTTCTTGAAAGAATCCTTAATTGTCTACGCTGACTATGAAATTGATGATAGTATGAATCCTATGTTACTCGGACTCTTCATTTGACCTCACATACCCGTGTCGGACCCTCGACACTCGCACATGGGTGGGACACTTAGACACTTCATTTTAGTTCAAAATCATGGAATTTTTTCACAAAATAGCCGGGTCGGACACTTTGACACGTATTTGTGTCGGACATGGGTACCCGAGTCCAAGTAACATAGTATGAAACTAAACCTAGATTGTGAGATTGATTTTTAATGATTGAACAAAATAAATTTAGAAAAATGGGTGTAACAAAATGAATGCGTAGCATATATAATTCAGTAAGAATGGAGAGAGAGAGGATGCCGATGGTATTGAAGAATAAGTGGGATTCTTGTGGTCCTGAAAAAGAGAAAGGTGAGAGATAGGAGGGAGATTTTATGAAGAGAAAGAAGGTCATTGGGGGGGGGGGGGGTGGGATAATGAAATAGGGGCAACTTTGGCATTTCATGGCAAATTTTTAGGGGAAAAATAGAAATAGGCCCCACTCGTCGGATTTTGTTTCCGAAAAATACAAGTGGGTAGTTCCACTCAACCTTTTAATATTTAGGGGTAGCTTTTTTGTTAAAATTTTAAGAGGGTAGTTGCTGATAAAATAGCCTATATAGGGGTTGTTTCAGACAATTTTTCCGTCATATTATATGATGAATGTTAACAAGGTGACATTGAAGGGATTTTGTATGGTTTAGTTATGTAATTAAAACAAATCTTTGGTTGCTTTAATAAGGGATTCTAGTATTGGTAATATGACCAAATGTAAATACGAAGACAGCTGTTTTGTTAGTAATTTATATTTCCTTCTTAAGATATTCAAATTGAGTTTCCTGAGTTTTTCTTTACTGTGAATAGTGTGAAATGGAAATCTTATCTGACCTTCCCCTGCATTCTCTGAGTCCATGTGTGATGTTCATTTCATAGGAGAGGACTTATTACTCGGAATGTCAAGCCTTCAGTTGACATATTTCATCAAAGGTTCGGGGTAAGCGCCTTTTAGGTGTGATGTTAGGTACATGGATCAGGTATTGTAAGTTTCTTTTTGTTGTTTTGGGGTCACAAATCCCTGATATTCTGCGACATATTTTCTGGCAATTTGCGAATAAAAGTTATTATTCAGGTTATGGTGTTATGCCTAGAAGAAAACTAATGTACAAGATGTAGTTGGTCAAATATGTTGCTGGAAAATTGCCATTCTACTTTCTAATAATTTGCAAAAAGTTTAAGCCATTTTTTAAATCAGTGAGCTTTTTGTCACTTGTCAGTCTTGTGCATCAATGGTAAAAAGATGAACCTGTTTTTATATAAACTGCTTTGCATTTGATTTGTCAAGTTGGAACATTGAAGTTATTTTGACACTTCTTGATCTTATTTACAAAGTCTTAGGTCCATATGATGCAGACCTTCCATTGGGATTTCATTGGAATCTTGAGACTGAAATTTCTTTTTTTTTTTCAATAAAAGAGAACTAAGTTTTGGAAGCCTTATTTTTAAGGGAGCGCCACGGTGTTATTACGGACTTTAAGGCATTTCTTGGGCGTCTGGCATAGTTGCATGACTATTCTGGTTCACCAAACATATACTCTATTGTTAAATCTAATTATCCAGTCTAAAATGTCCATGTGTGTATCTGTCAAACCTACATCAAGTTGCATTTATTTATTTATTTATTTATTTGTTCATTTTGGATAGAACTGAAATTTCATTGTGGATTGTTGTGGACAGACCTTTAGGTATCTTGTTTATTGTCTTGTGCAATTGCACTGTCTTGTTGCACTTTGTCAATTTAACACGTACTTGACCTGTTAGTATTTGTTTCACTCGAGGGAATCAATATGACAATTTTTGTACTAAGGCTAGCTAAGTGGTAAATTTATAGGAACAATCACCTCAGTGGATGAAGGAGAACTAGACCAAGAAGCTTAGCATTTTACCATATGGAAATACGTTGTTGATTTGGTCAACAAAGTTCAAATACTTGGATTCGCCCACATTAATCAAGGAAATACACATTCTACCCCCTACTTAAATCCAACCACGGTTAACAAAGTTCAAAATACTTGGATGCATCCACATTAATAAAGGAAATATCATTCTATCCCCTGCTTAAATCCAACCACCACTCATGTTGTATGTTAATAGTTTTGGTAATAAAACAACAACAACAAAGCCTTAGTCCCAAAATAGTTTTGGTAATGTTTAGGAAAAATAAATAATTTAATTTATGTTTATAAGTTTAATGCCAATTAACATAAATTTACATCAATGTATAAAAAATTGAATATACTTGGGAAAGTACATAAATTTCTTAATTGTTTGTTTAAATAATTTGTTTAATATTTTTATCTTTTAATCCTGGTTGTTATGTTTGATACTAATGGAATTTACAATGTGCTTGAATGTAGACGAAATTTTATGTATTTATTATTTTTAATATTGGTTGTAGTTCATGTATTTATTATTTGACTAATATTAACTTAGACTCAGATGCCTCTAAAGTGTTGCTCTTATAACTATATTCTATGTTGAAAGGTCAATACCTGTATTTGTGATATAGCATAAATGCATAATAAATTACTTCTAACACAGAACCTAGGCTACCATGTCTAGACAAGTTTAAACTTCCAAATTATTTAATCACTACAGGCACTATAAATTGTCCCAGTTTGTCGTTCATGTTTGCTAATACACAAATTTGACCATTAATATGTGTAATTATCTATAACTAAAATTACAAAAAAAATTTGAAATTTTAATTTATAGATTGATACAATTTAATAACAATTTACATAATAAAACTTATTGGAATATGTTTACAGTCAAAGTAAGACGTGGAAATATTAATTTACATGGAGGGAGTAAACTTCAACAATTGTACCCATTCGGTCCAAATAAAAGTCTTGTGTCACTAAAAAATCTTGCCACTAACTTAATATCAACCCTACCATCTTGTTTGAAGCTAGTACATGAGTAATTAGGGTGAAAGATTGAAGCTAGTACATGTAAATAGGGGCTGAAGTAGGATTGGAAAGTCCATGTGGCAGGTGGTTTGTGGTTTATGTAGTGTCATAGAGCACTTAAAGGAAGCGAACATGGAGAAAAAATGGAGCCAAACTTACAAAATAGTGCGATCAACATATGGTGGATAACCAAATTGCACATGGCACTTCATTTTGTTACTTTTAAGTTCAAAAGGTCATAGTTCTTAGTCTGAGAGCATCGTGTAAAGGATAATGATATTAGCAATATCATTATCCCTTGATTTACACAATTAGGTTGATTGTCAAAGATTTCCATAACTATTGTCTAATGTACCTAGTCATATACTCTAATGTATCTAGTCATATTCTAATGCATACTTATGTACTATCATCATCATTTGTCAGCGTCGGCAAAGGGTTTCGATAGTGTAGCTATGGTAGTAGCGGAAGCAAGAAAAGATGGATCAAAAGCTGTGTTACCATGATAGAGTTATGAGAAAGAGAATGTTGGAAAGCTTGATTATAAGAGTTTTTATAGTACATAAGTAAGCATTAGACTATGACTAGATACATCAGAGTATATGTCTTGGTGAATTGGAGTGATTAGACAATAGTTAGGGAACTCTTTGACAATCAATCTAATTGTGTAAATTAAGGAGTAAAACAAGGGATAATGATATTGCTAATATCATTATCCTTTACACATTGAGTTTAGTGTTGGAAAGATCAATTAGTCTTCTTTCTAATGAACAATATGCCATTTGAATTTTGAAAGCTTTAGTTCATTATCCAATAGTAGTTTTCTGGCCAAGTCATTGAATACTATGAACTCTGTATGTGATACATTGCAGAAATGCTATTCACTAGGATTATCAAATTCATGTTAGGTGTGCCATGGCAGTGTTTGAAAAAGCGCGCCTAAGGTGCGCCTAGGCCCTGAGGCGCAAGGCGATAGGGGGTAAGCGCTTTTTTGGCTTGGGTGAGGCAATTTTGATAAGGCGCACCTGAGGCGCCCGAGGCACCTAAGGCGCACCCGATGCGCACATGAGGCGCACCTGAAGCATAATTCTGTCAATTGTTTTCAATTATTTATATAGTGCGCCTCACTTCAATGAGGCGCACCAAGGCGCTGCATATCCCTTATCGCCTCAGTGCGCCTTGAGCTTTTTTATACAATTGGCCATAGCTCACAAGTATAGTACTTAAAATCAGGCTTACCCTACTGGGTTTCTAGCCCATCCAGTCCATTTGTGAGCTTTATATAATCAATTTAGAATAAAAAGTTAATTTGTTTGGTTTATTTCATTTTTTCAATTTCTATTTTTTTTTTAATATTACCATACAAATGGGAGACTTTGAATACTCTGCTCTGAAAAGGGAGGCATGTGGACTTAGAGAGATTTTAGGAAGCAATGGACTTTATGGTGGTCAAAACTAATCCTCCAAGGTGATAATTCTTCAGTCATTGTCATAAGAATAACAGGACCAAATCAGGCATTTACATTATCTTTCTGCAGAAGAAAGGGATTTCAGCACTCCCTCTGGTCAATTTCCTTTGAAAATCAGTCAGTACCCAGACTACGCACCTCTGGAAAAAGCTAAACAGAAGTCATTGTCATTTTTTTCAAAGATTAGGTTCTTTAGCTTACTGAATTTTGTAAATTTGTTCAATTAAGTAAACCAACTCAATGAAAACTGCAGGATTTGAGTATCATGCTGGTGGGTAATGGCCCCTAATGGGAGCATTGAAATGCTCAGTGTGTCAGGGAAGAGGGGGGGGGGGGGTTGGGTGGGTCTGTGGGCAGGAGGTTGATATAACTATGAAAATTCGCCAAATATACCCAATTCCAGTCACGGATAAGGGTTTATCAGCATGGCCTTGGTTCTGTTTTCTTGAACATATGGGTTCACTTCAATAATTTTTTTGTCTTTAGTTTAAGTTTGATTTTAATTATGCTTTGTGACAATCACCTTGACAAAGTTGGCTTGATGCTAAATATTTGACTTTCATATAAATTTCTGCAGATTACATTTTCTCCTGCAGTGAGCAGGGAATTTCTCCCCTGCAAACCTGATCCAGCTCCCCTATTACATATATGTTCGAACTGGGAAGTTCAACCAAATGAAGTGATTATGATTGGTGATAGCCTCAAAGATGATGTGAGTGAATTTTTATTCTCAAACTCTTCTAAAATTGGTTAGTTCTTTCTTCATCAAACATCCCGTGGGGTGTTATGTGATTAAAACATCCAATAGTTGAGAGGTGGAATGAAATAAGAGTTTAAGATGATGTTATTGCAGCTTAATTTGGGTAGTATAGAAGAGACTAATGTATACAGTCCACACCGTATCTGTATAGAAATTTTTTTTACCAGCAAAACATTTTTTTATACCAACCCGAAAGGTTTAAATATCATCTTTGGAGGAACACTTTAAGTAGGTATTCCAGTAATATATATTAGGTTAGTATGAACGAGAAACATAAAATTAAGTCCAAGTAAAGAATAAATAATCCCTTATAAATATAAGGAAAATAAATAACCTTTCCAAAACTTAGAAAGATTAAAAATATCTCTGTAGCACTTCCTAAAAAGTTAATTGTTGAACAAGAGATAAACAATGAACCTAACTGTTACAAAGAGTTGCAGACTTTATTTGATATATGAGACTAAGAAGATAAATTCAAAACAATGGGTTGCTTCTGATAATGAAATAGAAGGAAGTAACTACAATTTTTAAAAAGAAAATTATATCAACAAATGGGATTAATGAAACTAGATGGTATGATTCTACCTATTGAAATTATGCAACAAAAAATTGATAATAAACTAGGAAAACTGGTGATGTATAATAATGAAATTGGAGAAGAAATTATCAATGAAAGTAATCATGTGAAATTTTAAACAATGTTATTACTAGACCTAGGTATCAAGGAGAAGGAAGTTGCACACGACCAAGATACATATCATGAAAGTGTCATGGTGTCACGGTCCGGGAGTTTGGGCCTCGAAACGTGCGGCGCGCTTTAGCCTTTTGGCGGCAAGAACGCTAGCCTTGAGCGGAAGAGGGGCTTGTGAGCACAAAGCAACACAAGCGGGCAATAGAATCTCAGGAGTGCGGGTGGTCAGGGCTTGTGACGGCCGATAGTTCAAAGAGGGCACAAGTGGGTTCGAACCACGAGTCCTTAGCGCATCAAATTGGGTTGGAGGGGAGCTAATATGCAAGTAAGACACAATATCTATAAAGGTCTAACAACAAACAAGCATAAAGCAAGGCAACACTTGGTAGAAGGCTTTAAGATTTCATTAATCATTCACCCTCTAAAGAGCTTAATGTAATACATGCATAGAATCCCTAGTGAACATTGAACTGACAGTAACACAATAATGGGACCTAAGGCCTATAAAACATAAAATAAACTCTAAGAAAGCATCTAAAGGGAAACAAATACATCAAAAGGAGTTGAATTTTAACATCCTCCCCCACTTAAGCTATCGACGACCTCGTCAACTTACAAGAGTTACAACCAAAATAAGAAAATCCTAACTATCTTGAGTCTCTGGTGTGCCGTTGATGCGGCTGACTTCTTTAATCTTCGATGACTCTGGAGGTGGATCTTCGTTGTTGCCGAGGAGCTTGTCTCTGGGGTGGCTCTGCTCGAACAATTTGTTGAGAGCTTCATCTTTTTCCTCCTGAATCTTGTTGGTTCTGATGGAGAGCTGCTTCCTCGTGTCTGATTTTGGTTTTGGCGGGTGTGTATCTGAGATGTTGCCACTCCATGGGCTTCATCTCCCGCTTCTCTGGGTTTCTAGTGCGAGCTTGTTCCTTCAATGTTGCCTTCTTCTCTGGCTCCATCACTCGCATTGCCGAAGGTATGCTATCATTCTCATTGCACTCAGGCGTCGTATGGAACCCATCCTGTATGTGGGCTCCTCGTCGCTGCTAGTCTCTTATGTGGCCTCCTGAACGGACATGGATGACAATCTTTTTTGGATCTTGTCAAGTTCTTTATGCTCGCAATCCCACTATTTGTGTGGACCTCGACAAAGTATGCAGTTTATCGCCCTTGTGTTTGCCGAGGATGTGCCGGCCCTTGAGTTTCCTGAGTTGTGGGAGGGGGTAGATGTTTGTCTCTGGGCATCACCTCCTCCACTTCTTCTATGATATGTATCAATGGTGTTGGACGATACTCGTGAGCCATTCTCTGTACCCTTTGGAGAGCTTGGAGACGGACTGTTAGAGCGTGTTGACGTCCCACTTGAATTATTCTCGGATTGACGACCCTTCCCGACTGAGTAGTCCATCAATCTCTCAGCACCACACATAGCAGCAGCGAGGGTATCAATATTCTGCCTCAAAATCTCTCGCTGCGCCCATTCCTTTAACCCGTTGACAAAGTTGAACACACGATCTTTCTCATTCATGTCTGTGATGTCCAACATTATCGCCGAGTATTCCTTAACATAGTCGCGAAGAGAACCCATCTGACGGCACTCTTGCAACTTCATCCGCGCAACAAATGCTTTGAGTTCCTCTTTGAACTCCGCCCATGTATCAATCTTTATCCTTCCTGCTTCGATGTCTGCATGCTTGGTGCGCCACCACAGCTTAGCATCTTCGGACAAGTACATGATGGCAGTATCCACCTTTTGATCGTCACTCAGTTGACATATTCGGAAGTACTGCTCCATGTCGAAGAGGAAGTTATCAACTTCTTTAGCGTCTCTAGAGCTACTGTAGTCGCGAGGTTTGGGCGGCTTGATCTTCGCCACACCAACACCCAGTGCGTCTCCGCCCACAGCGCGCGTCAAGGTAGCACATTTCTCAAGTGCTTCGTCGGCTTGTCCTTGAACAAATTGCAATTGTTCGCGGAGGGCATCTCTATCAGCCATCAATTTCACAATTTGCTCGGCTTTCTCATGTACAATGACTTGGAGCTCGGCCCATTTGTCCGCCTTCTCCTTGAGCCAAGCGAGCCTTTCTTCTACAAATTCCATCTTCGTGTAGCCCTCCTTGGTGCCTACACGGGTTGCTTGCGACAAGGTTTGAGCCTCGGCTCTAATACCAACTGTCACGGTCCGAGAGTTTGGGCCTTGAAACGTGCGGCGCGCTCTAGCCTTTTGGCGGCAAGAACGCTAACCTTGAGCGGAAGAGAGGCTTGTGAGTAATAGAATCTCAGGAGCACTCGCGTCTATCTGGGCGACGGAGTGCGGGTGGTCGGGGCTTGTGACGGCCGATACTTCAAAGCGGGCACAAGCGGGTCCGAACCACGAGTCCTTAGCGCATCAAGTTGGGTTGGAGGGGAGCTAATATGCAAGTAAGACACAATATTTATAAAGGTCTAACAACAAACAAGCATAAAACAAGGCAACACTTGGTAGAAGGCTTTAAGATTTCATTAATCATTCGCCCTCTAAAGAGCTTAATGTAGTTTATGCATAGAATCCCTAGTGAACACTGAAGTGACAATAACACAATAATAGGACCTAAGGCCTATAAAACATAAACTAAACTCTAAGAAAGCGTCTAAAGGGAAACAAATACATCAAAAGGAGTTGGATTCTAACACATGGTCATGCCAAATCCTATACCTAAACAAGAAGAACTCTTGAACCTATTAGTCAAACCTATAGTTTAATTAATTGTTTCACTTCTCTATTGCGGACGTATTTAAATTATTGCCCTATTTCCTTTTTTTTTGGAAACTTTTAACAATATTTTACTATTTTCCTCTCTACTAGTTGGAGTAGTGGATATCATAATTTAATAATTTTCATATTCTCTCTTCTCCCCAATTATACTCACTTTTGGTTTTTCAGATTTTTTATTCTTCAATCAACCCCACTTCAATCATAAAATAATACTTTCTACTATTCCTCCTAAATCTTCGTGTCCAGAGAAGTGGAGCAATTAATGTAATATGGAGGGAGTAAAGTCAAACTAGATGGTATTAGAGATAGGCAAGAAGTCATAGATAACTGGAAAAAGAGTATGAGTAGTGTACTAAACTTAAATGCTGAATGGAGATCTAGAAATTTCTTAAACTATATGGAGCATAGTTTTTATGATTGCGTAGAAGATTGGTACTATGGGGTAGACGACAAAGTTATAACAGCATTAAGAGCTAGTGAGTCTCCTACTAGAATGTTAGACAATTATGTCAATGCATCGAGTTAAAATTAATAGGTCTGAGAACTGATCCTAATTAAAAAACAATGGAATATCAATGAAAATTGAGCAATCTATCAAAATGTAATATAAACTTTGTTGAGAATTATATTATGGAGTTTGAGATACATATTATAAAATTGGTAATGACCAAACCTTGGAGCTTTCTATGATAAATTACCAAGCCCAATTAATGAAGAAATTAGTGAAAACTATCGGAGAGAAAAATACATAGCTAGGGATGCCCTTGGTAAAAGAATTTTTTTCCTAAGAAAATGGATTGAAAGAAATGTAGAGAAGTAGCAAGAACTCGACAATTGAATAAACAATCTCTAACTTGTTAGGATTTCCCAAGTAATTATGGATGTGAAAGAAAAAGCTATAACAAGAAGAAATATTACAAGAAAAATAAGTTTGATAGACCCAAGAGGAAAAACCTATTGGAAGAATTACAATAAGCACAATAGGTTTCTCCAGAAAATATTAGGCCATGCATGTGTTGATCTTGTGGAGAATTAGGCTATTATGATCTATGTTACTTGAACTCGGGTACCCGTGTCCAGCACGAATACGTGTCCAAGAGTCCGACCTGGCTATTTTGTGAAAAATTTCCATGATTTCGAACTAAAATAAAGTGTCTAAGTGTCCCACCCATGTCCGAGTGTCGAGGGTCCGACACGGGTACGTGAGGTGATATGAAGAGTCCCAGTAACACAGATTATGATAATGAATGTAAGAAAGTTAATCACATACTCATGAAAGCCTTAGCTAGTTGGGACTACATAAGTAATAATAAAGGAATAGTAGTAATAATAGAGGAAGAAAGTGAGAATAACGAAGAACCCGATGAAAGCTAATCGCAAAATCCTTTATCTTCTTCTTTGATAACATCGCCATTCCGACAACCAGATGCTGTATCCAGAACAGAATATATACTCGGGTCTGTGTCGGGTAGAATCAACCTGGGTATGGAAGCAATTTTGCCGTGTCCATGTAAAATAGCTTCTTAAATTATGAGTAATGTTGTACTTGGAAAATAAGCTGAAGGAGAAGAATGTGTAAATAAAGGTTATTTAAGCATTGTGAATTTGCGTACTATCTACTATGAAAAGGCATAACACTGCTCCATTGCATGATAGTAAACTAGTTCTCACAGATTTAGCCTTCTCTTTTTGCCGTCATCTTTTATGGTCATCTATGGTAACTTAAGGTTCTCTTCACCTTTTCTCTCTTCCTCCATCTTCCTTCATTGCTTATCCTCCATCAACCCCTCTCCCCAAACCATTCTTTCTTCGTTTTGTCTTCATCTCTTTCCCTCTAAAAGTAGAAGCAACAAGATGGACCACATGTAGAAAAAATTTCACCGAGTCCACTTCAAAGTTTTCAACACAGAGATCACAAGGAAAAAATTGAAATACTACGTAGATTCTAGAACAAAGCCTTATTTTCAACCCCTAAAGTCTGAAACCATTGTCAAAATTAATCCTCAAGTATAGGAGAGTTTATCAAATATCCAGCAAGCTCTCTAAAAAAGCATCCTAGTGAGGGAAAACCTGAACTGGACAAGTAAATTCGAATACAGATCACAACATAGTTTCTTTCAAAGAAATCGAGCTAATTCATAGAAGGCCCAGTGATGGTGGCCAGCAATATGCTATGGTTGTGGTAATTAGAAGGGAGTATCAAGTATTCAATGATAAGCATTAGGTTCAGCACATTTTTTGCAAAGACAAACTCGGGTTGATGAGGACAATAACCGAGTCCAATGATCTCCAAATGAAAAGAGACATGGGGAGGATTGGAGATAGAGCAACGCTGATCTCTTTACTTTGTAATCTCCATTAATGCTCTCCAGATTTGAAACACTAACCTAGAGGTACTAGGAAAATTTCATAGTATGAAGTATATATTTTGATTATGCAAAACTTCAAGAGTTGTCATGGATAATTCCCATAAAGAGAGAGAAAAGAACCAACATACCTACTCCTTTGTGTATGTGTTGTAATATTTCTTTCAATTTCCTTTTCTGACAGGTAGCTTGTGGGAAAAGAGCAGGAGCATACACATGCTTGCTTGATGAAACTGGGAGGTATGACTCTCCTGAGTTTGCTTCAGTTGACCACAAACCAGATTTTAAGGTTTCTACTCTCACAGAAGTTCTGTCATTGCTGGAAACACATTTTGACTTGAGACCATAATGGGCTTGAGCCCTATGTCGAGTAAGTTAACAGCTAAATTGCTTAAGCTGTGTGCTTCCGGCTACAAAAAATTATTTTAGCTGTTTGAAGGTTCTCACATGAGCATCTTCAATATCCGAGGCAATTTATAGAAATGGATACGAAGTGATTGTGATTGAAATTGAAGAATATTGCCGCATTCAAACTTGGCATTTCTTCGTAGATTATGATACTCCATACTAAGAACATATTTTCTGTCTTGTCTAGATTGCTAAATATGTGCTTTCATATTTGGGCGAAAAATTGAGAAATTTCCTAATATTGTACTTTGTGTGATATTAGATTTGCTGTTGCAGGACATTCCTCCTGGATTCTTAGTTATATTGGCAGCTTGATTTGTGCATATCATATTGATGACATTCAGAATGACAAAGGCGCTCAAACATGAGAATTATTTATTTGGTTTTTCTAGTTCTAAAACTTTATTTGCCTTTGGTATCTCTTAAATTTTAGTCTCTGTTTTCGTGTTATTGAGTTATACTAGTTTGTAGCTACATTATAACAGCAGCACCTCAGAACCATTGTGGAGAATGTGAGACGTAAGCTTAGAATGTACAATCTTCCTAAGACATTCTGGGGTGAAGCAGTCAAGTGTGCAGTGTACTTGACGAACCGAGCTCATAATTGCATTTCTTTTTCTTTTTAAAAAAATAAGTAAAAACAAAATTAAAAAATTCTGATGACAATTTCAGTGTACAAAGCACCATTTTCCTACATGGGAATGCCTTAAATTAGAGAAGTCATTCTATTGGGAAGCTGTGTGGTTGAGCCTGACACCAGAGATCTCAAGAAAGTGTCATTGATGCAATGCTTTTTATGACTCTCTCTCTTTCTGAGCTATTCCGTTTTTTCACACCACCTTTCATAAATCATTCTCCAAAGCATGTGAGAATCTGTTCCGATTACATTTATCTCTTCTGTTGTTTTTATCTTTTAAAAAAAAATATTCATTAAATTTAACAGTCGTTTGGTTCGTTATACTAGAATGGATTGGTATGGGATCTCATACTAGGGTTGTATAGATTTTAAACCCTATACTTGTCTAAATTTGTTTGGTTTTTATTTTGGAATGGTTTATAGATTTCATTAAAGAAATGGATTGTGAATCTTATGGGGTGAGGTGGGTATGGGTTTCTAGGGGAATGGGGTGGAGTTAGACTCCTCTTGGTATGAGATTCCAAACTTAAAATGTCTAACCAAACAATATATGAATGGAATAGACTGTAACTCCATTTCAATCCATTCAAAAAACTTCAACCAAATGGCCCCAATAATAAGTGTGGTTTGATAAACATAATTTTTAACCAATAAAAATCAGTAACTTTAAAAAATAAAAATAATATAGAATTAATAAAAATAAATTTTAATTTTTCAATAAAATTGTTAATTTTAGTTTAGAAAAAATAAAGTGAAGAGAATGAAAGCTAAGTAAGTAATGACATGTACTCGGTAAAATTGTGTATGGGAATCCCCTAATAATGTCGGCCGTTACAAAATTCAATTTTTTTTTCCTTATACTGGTGCACTTCATAACCATAAATTTTTCTTGAACAAAACCTCTGAATTAGTGGTATTTCTTTAAAAAAAATAGTGGTATTAGATGTCTGAATGGTTGAATGGGGTGAATTTATTTCAAGTACAATGGTTTTATGTTATAAAAATCTGGTTAGTTTTATTGACGTGAAAAGTTTATTGGGAAATTATATTTTAAAAAATATATATTTGGAAATAAGTTATAAAAAAATAAAAAAGAAAAAAAGAAGAGCATATTCTATGGAAATCGTTCTTGGATTGTTAAATAATTTATCGAATCTTGTTAATGAATGTCTTTGGGGCGTTAGATAAGTATTTAAAATATATTTTAAAATGGTCTTAATTTGGGAATGCATGACAAAATGATAAACGCGGGCTTGGGCCGCACCCGCAAACCAAGAGAGAGAATTAACTTCACAAGATCAAAGGAGGTTCCATCCCAAAATCATATGGCAATAGGAAGAGTAGCCCCTTAGCCTTATAAATTCTCTTTTCTTCAACCAATGTGGGACACTTACATGTGGTGACACTTGAGAAGTTTATTCTTCAACACAAAATCACTCGTCGATCAGTGTAATTAATGTTCATTTTAATTTAATACTCCGTATTTTTTTCTTTTTGTTATTTTATCTAATATCTTCGAGATGTTCGTTAGCTTTTGCCTTTAAAAATTTTTGAAGGATTTTTCGAGTTATTATTAATTTCCAAGCTAATAATTAACGGAAAATCCAAGTTGATATCTGATAGAAACCATGTTTGTTTATAACAGGGTACTTTCGTCTTTTCGACTGAAAAGGTAAGGGCAATGTAGGCAACATTTGTTTGACGGATTTTCTCAGTTACTTTGGCGTTAACGGGACAAAGTTAACCATGGTTAACTCCTCTTACCTACCCTTACTCTCCCCAATTTAATAATTGTAACGGCACGTGCCCATGAAGGAAAAATTGATTGACACGTGTTATATTTTCTTGTTCAAACTTCTGCTGCTATACAATGTTTCTTCATCACACTCCTGCTTGTCAAGTTTCTGTGTTATTCATCCTATTCCTTCAAATGTCTTTCGGCATTTTATTGTGTGGTCGTTGGTGGTACCTAGGTGGTCGGTGGTCTCGTCGATTTCGAGCTATGTCGTCGGTGGTCGTCGATTTCGAGCTAGGGTTTCGTTGCGGATTTCACGGTACGTTTTTCACTCGGAACTTGCTTAATGTACTTGAATTTGATTTCGAGCTAGGGTTTCGTGGCGGATTTTTGATTGCGATTTTGATTTTGATAGCTAATGTTTTTCACGGCGAGTTTGATAGCTAATGACTTTTGATTGCGATTGAAATTGAATTTTTGAGTGCGAGTGAACTTTAATTTTGATTTCCGATTGAATTTTGATTGCGAGTGAACTTGAATTTTGATTTCCACGTCCTTACTCGGATGTATCATGTGTTAGTAGTTGAATTTGTAAGTGAAGTATGAAATTGAATTTTTGAGTGCGAGTGAACTCGAAATGTAGATTTGATTGCCGATTGAATGTTGATTGCGGGTGAACTTGAATTTTGAATTTGAGATTGAAGTTTGTTTGCGAGTGAACTTGAATTTTGTTTGCCAAGACCTTACTCGCATATATCATGTGCTAGTAGCTGAATTTGTAATTGGAAATTCAAGTTTGTTTGCGAGTGAACTTGAATTTTTTTTTGCCGGAACATGCTAACTTGGAAATCAATTCAATATTAAATGGTAGATTTAGTGCTACTATAATGTGGAATTAGTGTTACTAGTAGAATTCAGATGTGTGTTTCCCAAATTAGTCATCACTTTGATTTGTTATTCCATCCAATGTCAATCCAGGAGAGGGACTGAGTATCAGAAAAGGAAATTGGAGGTGAAGGTATGATTTCACATTTAAAGCATGTTATTAGTATGTAATACATGGGCAAATGCGCACTAATTGAGCTAATGTACATTGTAGGCTGCATGTGCAAGCTCGAGAAGGAAGCTGGAAGAGAAGGTATGCTATTTGCATTACAAATAGTTGAACCTTATGTCAGTTTTGTTGAATATGTGCATTTGTCAGTTTTGTTGAATATGTGTATTATTCAGTGTTATATTGCTTAGTTGATACAGGACACTGTGTTGAGCCTGGGCGGTCAAGTGAAAGAAAAAACGGGGGCAATTAGAACAAAGGTAAGTGTCATAAATGCTTAGTGTTGGAGTGCATTGCATTATATGTTGAACTCAGTTGTTTTGATTTTTATAGGCTCCTAATTTGACCTGCCGTGTTGAGTCATTTGGAAGAATATGTCAAACGTTTGATGACAAAAGGAAGAGGTGGGTGTCTTAAATGGGGTTTGGTGGCCTTCTTCATTTAGCTTCTGGCATACATATGCCTAGGCAATTGGCGTATTGGCTACTGCGTCGAGTGGATCCATTTAGGAAGATTCTCTCCTCGGATGGCAAAGAGTTTAAGTTGTCACCGAATCAAGTGTATTGGATATTTGGGATACCGAATGGTGGCAAGTGTGTCCCTTTAAAAAAAATATGAGCCTCAATGTCAAGGGACAGGTTGAGGAACTGATTTCTCGGTATGGCTATTATTGGGAAACTAAATGCACAAGATATGAAGGCCGTGTTTACGGTGTCAAGGGCATTCATGTCAATTCAATTATAATGGATAGGGTAGAAGGTCAATGGGAAGACAATGAGGAAGTTGAATTTAAGACATTATTTCTCATCCTTTCGCTGCTTATGGTTCTTTGTCCTACACAGTCCCCACGACTATCTTCAGATCTATTGCCTGCCGTAACGTGTGCAATAGAATGTGATAAGTATGACTGGTGCAGCTTAGTGTTATCCAAGTTTCTTTCTAGTGTCACCTCATTCGCAAAGAGGTTCGATGCAAAAGGAAATGGTGGTGGTAGTGGTGGCTGTCTGTTGTTTATTGTGGTTAGTATATTGATTCTGAACTTCGATTTGGTTTGTAAAGTGTTGCCTTTTATTGTTCATATGCTAAAAATCGTTGTGGTTGTCATTATAGGTGCTTTATCTTGACCGGCTTAATAGGGATCCCCTCCGCTGGGGTGCTTTCCCGCGATTGATTGTTTGGGGCAAACATGAGTTAGCTTTAGCAGCCAGAGCTGATTGTGTGAATAATGCTCCTGATTTTGGCAAACTTGGGGTAAGTTTTTTTTTTTTTTAAGTATATGGTTGTATTTGAATGTTGCAAGTGTCTTGTAAAGGGAACTGAATATGCTTATGTTGTTGGTAGATGTTGGATGTTGCTTATGGTGAAACCCACCCCCTAGAGGCCAGGGATACAGATGGACCTCTAGCACTAAATACTAAGGTAAATTTGGGAAGTTCATTCAGTTTGAGATTGCATTAGTGGTGAAGTTCACCGCATCCTCAGTGTCCATCCTTCTGATTGTGTTAGCCACATTTGTAGGAGGTTGACGAATTACCTGATATGAAATATTCTCCTAAGCCGAGGCGTAGGCGGGCATCGAAAGGAGCTGGTGTATCATGGTTCTAGTAATGCATTGGAGGTTTGCATAATGTCAATGTACTGTATGACTTTTACCTATGACTTCAATTTGGATTGCATAATGTTTGGTTTTTTGGGCTTGGCCCAAAGTCATATGTTGATTATGTTGTAGGCATTTAATAATTGAGTTTGATGTCAAAGTCACATAGGATAGCATAATGTTTCTGTTTTTGGGCTTTAGGCCCAAAGTCATAATGGATTCCATAACATAATGTTTCTGTTGGCAAAGCAAGCCATAATGTTTTTAAGTAATCTCCAATAGGAATTAGGGTGCTTCAATTTTGACCCTTTAGGCCCAAATCTATTAATATAACTTAAGTAATATAAAAAAATTTCCAAAACTTATAATGACATCATTAATTTTTTTATCAAAATAATTAAGAATTTAGTATCTTTTTCTCCTACTTCATAAATTTTATTCAAATTGTATCAATTGGAATGTCCACTCTTTAGTAATTTATCAATGTATTAGATTTTTCTTAAATTATCAATTATTTCTACTACGTACATATTACACACAAATAAGCATCCCACCCCACGAGCCTAATCTAGTTCATGTTAAAGAGACCTACACTCACATTTGAAGAAATAAAACTTTTTAAACCAGTATTTGAAGAATGAGTTGATTTGTTTTAAAACCATAATCTGAAGACATTTAAAACCTTTTACACCAATAATGTTGTCTTGGTATTTGTGGATTGCATAATGCCTCTTCTTTGTTACTAGGCCCAAATTCATAATAATTATGTCCTCAAATTGCAATGTTTATGGCTTAGACTCTAACCCATTTTGGGTTACTAGTTTACCTCTGTATGCAATTCGTATTTATTCGGTTTTCCAAATTGGAATAACCTCAACCTATATGTTTATTTCGTTTTGATATTTTCCTTTTTTTTTTTTGGATAACCTTGTATTTGTGATTGACTCATATTTTCCTAACATTTTCGTGTAATTAGGTTTATCATAGTTTGAGGTGCTTTAAAACACGTAATAAAACACAAACCCAATAAAACACATAATATGTTACACATCACAATAATAAAAGCACATACCACCCAATAGTTAAGAGTCTAACCCACATAACAGAGTTTAATACAATAATTCATACCCTAAACACACACTAATAGAAGACACAAATCGGAATTCTAGTACATAACACCCTAAACAAAGTACATAATCTAGTACATAGTAGGAAACATCTTCCTCTGGAACAGACAGCAACCTATGGAACACAACAGAAGCACCTGCGGCACAACAAGACAACAAACGTGAGAGGTCAGACCATAAATCCTAAAGGCAAAAAAATAAAAAATTGACACAGTATATTAACCACTTCTGACTTGATTACCTTACATTTAACTTCAGATTACTCGGTCCTTAATTCATCCCCACACCACACACAGATCCTACTATGCGAAGATCAATCTTGTAGATCTTATCAGCCACAATAACTTCACTCTGAACCTTACATGGATCCCACAGCACGACACATCCTCCAGTTGCTCCCTTACCATCATCAACCTTCCAAGCCATGGATGTGTTGAGTCCTTTGAGCACCCTCTCACAGTTAGTTGATTGTGCCCCCACCTCAGTAATAATCATCAAGATTGGCTTGTGTGTTTTGATAACTTCATCAAAATGCGGTCCAAAAGAAGGCCTTGTGATATGGCCGCCATTCCACAGCACAGCACTTGCTCCCACCTCCAATTTGACATCCCCTTCTCCAACTTAGGGAACCAGCTTCACTGACTGGTATCGACTAGATGGATCTTCCTCGATAAACTTGTCCCGGAAGACCGTGAAGTTCAAATTGGTATCGACTAGATGGATCTTCCTCGATAAACTTATAAATATACACACTTCCAAGTACACAAAGCACAAAGTATTTACCTGGAAGAACAATATCTCATCCGAGTAGCACCCAAAGTTGCAGTCGATGGCTTCGTTTCGAATCGAATAAATGGGCCCAGCACGAGCAAGGACAGGCTTGGGATCAATTAAGGGGTTAATCAATTTGGGAACAAAAGGAGTAACCCCTTCGTACTCAACAGGCCCCTCTTCTAACTCCCGTATGGCAGCCTGCACCGTCGGCAACGCTATGACATCAGCAACATTGGGAAAGTGAGCAGGGTAGACAATACCGTACTCTTCAACCATCATCAGCTTGTCGAGGAGGCCCTGTCTCTCCTCAAGTTTTGCTAAAATGTCTCTCAGGGTCTCGTGATCAACGACCTTAGTGGTAAGACGGCCAGTGTTACTATAGAAGTAAATGTAGTTGTTGAAATCGATCTCTGGCTGTGTGTTGTGTGTTGTGGTTGTGGTCAAAACAGTGGAAAGCCTCTGTTACTTCTTTCTCATAAAAACCAAGTGGGTATGCCATGAGGGTTGGTTTTTCTATTTTTTTTTAATGGAAAAGTGGGGGTTGTTTTTTTTTATAACAACAGAGAATTTAGATTTAGAACTGGGGTAGTGGTTGAATAAGAGTATTTTCAGCTACCCATCAATTTATAGAGGGGGGATGGATGATATGGAGGGTGGTGGGGCCCAACTTACTATTCTTTTTGGATTACTACCTATGAATAGGGATACTAGGGCTTAGGATTCTCGAATCTTGCTTAAGTTTCTAGTTAGGTTACAACTATAACCATTTCGTTACACTATTGACAATTGGGGTACTTCAGCAATCAAGTTACATTAGCTAATTAGTTGGTTTGTCCTTATCCTAATTTTTTTTTATCAATTCACAGCTGGTAAATGGATGCAATTGTTGTGCGATTTTCCCAAAAGATAATCCAGACGGGTTATTGTTTACCTTACCTTTTATTAAGAGATTATTACTTGCGATTTATTTAACCATTGAATATAAGTAAAAAAGATAAGAGTAGATTAAAGATAATAAAATGGGGTCTTTTCCGTACCCAAAATAAAAAAAATATATATCAAGAAGATAACCATGCAATTTATAATTGATGAATATCTTGTTCGTACTTTTATTTCTTGATTAATTTGAGTTATTTGATTAAGTTTGACCAAATTCAAAAAAAAAAAAAATACTAAGTAGATAATGAGCTCTACCATTAATAATATAATTTGCTTAATAAGAGGTTACAATTTAGCCAGTTAAGGTCATCGGAGTAGCTGTTCACGTTCATCTCGTGCACTTCTTCTGCCGACATTGTAAAGGATTCTACCTCGTCAGGTAATGTCGCACGGGGGTAAATAATGTTGCGAATTGTAGAAGGGATAAGATGTTGGACACTTGTGCCTTCATGACCTCCCTTGGTCAACAATGCCCATCTAATTGATAGCTTCAAAGCCGGGGGTAGCAAAGCCAGATCTGACAGATCAGGAACGTGGGTCGGGTATAGTCCCTTGTTATCTAAAACAACAAGGTCACCCATGTTGTTTTCCCCACTGCAAATCCATGAAGCCACATCTCTAGCCTCAACCATCTTCACGGTTATAGAACCCTCTTTTGAAATCAGATGTGATTGGATCACATCTAACAAGCCTCTACCAACATTTGGCACTCCTCCAACCGGACGAGGTGGCTTAGTGGTTAGGCTAACACAGCAAGTGTCCTTTATGAGAAAGGGCACTTTGATAACACTTATTGAATGGAATTTTGTTTTCTTGAATTTTTTGTTCCTGGTTGTTTTTAAGGCTTTTGAATGTGTTCTAATTAAACTCAAAGGTACTTTGATTGTGTTTTCCATCATTTTGTCTTTGGTGATTGACCTTGTTCACTTGGCAAATGACCCTTATATAACATATTGCACAGCACTAGTGGCGCCAGACATACATTTCTTTGGCGCCACTTTCATTGTATTGTGATGGTGGTGTTTTTGTTTTGGCGCCTTTATTTCGTATTTCTAAAGCTATAATATGGCGCCAAAACTTAGACTCAAACCCAATATTTTGAAAAAAAGGGAGGGGATTATCTCAGAACATTTACATCACTAAAATATATATCAAAAATAATAATAATAATAATAATAATAATAATAAAAAAAAAGAGGATTTACTGGGGAAATTTAACAACCTTTTGGTACAACCTTTTTTTTTACGATTTTATATTTTAAACTGTTATTTAGTATAGCTAAGATATCGTAATTTGATATGTATGGTTGGTAGGTCTCATATCAATTCAGTTAACATAAATCTCTCAAATTCAAATAAAAAAAAAAACAAAATTTTAAAAAAATCAATAAACAAGAAAGTCTTTCTCTAATAAAAATTTTCGCTTTTGTCTAGTAGGTACTACAGTGCCTTTTTTAAGCTTTTAAATTTCTTTGGGTTTTGTTCAACCTGATAATCGAAGAGGGCCTATAGTATAGCTGCTGCTTTTCTAGGTGTTTGAGTGAAGCAATTTTTTACTTTATTTTTTGTCCTCCTTTTATTATGATATTTTTATGTGGACTAAATTTTCTAACGCCATTTTTTGGTCAAAAATCGATTCGAGGTGTTGACATTACTCAATAGAATCGGCTCAAATGTACAAGACTTTTAATCATTGAAAGACTCTTGTCCAAAAACTAATTGTCGTAACGTACTCTCCCCTTAAGTTTAACTTTATGACTAAAGCCGTAATTATTGACTTTTGATGGAGTTTATTGCATTTTAATTTGGTCATTACTTTATTTCTCCTTCGTCATTCTCCGGTGGAATTACAATTTTTAGCATATACTTATAAGCCGTCTTCTAAGAAGATTGGTGTTCAAATTTAAAATCATATTCAATTAACCACGCAAAAATTACATGTAGAGCTGCAAATCACTTAGTGGTAGTTTCTAAACGATATTTAACATTAAGCACACGTAACTAATCCCAATCATGAACTGTCGGGTCATCGTCCATGCCCATGTTGGTGTACCATGATGCCATCACGTCGTACTCCTCTTCATTCTCATAGTCTTCTAGGTAGTATTTCCCCTCTGGTATTACTACGAGTGACCTTAAAACTGGCTGCAAATAATCAGAATTCAACGATTAAAATTTGCATAAATTAGTTAGCCACAAATTGCTTAACTTATTTCAGCCATAACACAATACTTTACTTACCATTATGTTTAATGACAGTATATGTCCGTAAGTTGTAATTTGCCTATGCTTGAAATATGGTTCAAGACGATCATCCCATGCGATTAAAACTCCCCCCTAAACCCGCTGGACTAATGGATTCATATTTATAATCAAGACCGACATCCTCCTTCACCTTATTAATGTAAGGCCACTTTGATCTAGCTTCTGTCATTATTACTAGCATTGGCTTGTAGGTCGAGTGGATTTCCTGGAAGTTCTCAGCAAAAGAAGACCGATGGACATTTCTCGCATTCCAAATTACTACCATTGATCCCTTAGGAAAACAACCTTGACCATCTAAATTATTTGCATATTGAGCGGTTAGGTGAGCTCTGGGAGATGAGATGTGTGCAAGGGAAGATGATTAAACTTGTACACACATGACAAGTCAGCGATCCGCCAAGTCACCGATCCTATGAAAAAAAAAACAGGTCAATGATCCGCCAAGTCACCAATCCCATGAATCATGAATCATAAACTTAGGATTTCCTATGATCTGTACACGTGGTAGAATTTATCTCTAACAAACTCAAGAAGCATTAGTCTTTAGGGATGCCACTTTGGTAAATACAAATTCGTAAAAACCGCAACCCTTAAAAGGAAAATCCGGATGCCTTAAACCCTACCATAATTTATAAATTGGCAATTTGAATCAACGGATTTCCCTAGTCAATTTGTGTAAACGTACTCAAATGGATAAGAAATATTCCTTAGACAATGGAAATGAACCCTTAACCCTACGATAGTTTATCAATTAGTCAATTTCAATCAACGGATTACCGGGGATACGAATGAGTGAACTTAATCAAATTGGTGCGACATATAAACAATGGAAATGAACCCCTAAACCCATGATCAATTTGTAAATTGTCAATTTGAATCGAAGCATTTTTCAGGGACAAGATTGAGTAAACTTAATCAGGTGCAGAAGAAATATACCCTACACAATGGAAATTAACGATAAACCCCTAAACCCTATGATCAATATATAAATTGTAAGTTTGAGTCAAAGGATATCAAAGGATACGGGTGTGTAAAATTAATAATATGGATATGAAATACACCCTAGACAATGGAGATGAACGATAACCCCTAAACCCTGAACCCTAAACCCTAGACCCTAAACCCTAAACCCTAAACCCTTATCCCTTCCCTTAACCCCTAAACCCTTAACATTAAACAAAAACCCTAAACCCTAAACCCTCAACCCCTAACCCTTAACCCTTAACCTTAACCCTAAACCCTAAACCCTCAACCCTAAACCCTTAACCTCTAACCCTTAACCTTAACCCTAAACCCTAAACCCTCAACCTCTAACCCTTAACCTTAACCCTAAACCCTAAACCCTAACCCCTTCACCTTTAACCCTAAATCCTAAACCCGTAACCCCTAAATCCTTAACCGTAAACCCTAAACCCTAAACCCTAACCCCTAAACCTGTAACTCTGAACCCTTAACCCTAAACCCGTAACCCTGAACCCTTAACCTTAACCCCTAAACCCTTAACCCGCTACTCTGAACCCTTAACCCTAAACCCTTAACCCTAAACTGTAAAACCTTAACCTTAACCCCTAAACCCTTAACCCCTAAACCCTTAACCCTTAACCTTAACCCCTAAACCCTTAACCCTAAACCCTAAACTGTAAAACCTTAACCTTAACCCCTAAACCCTTAACCCTTAACCTTAACCCCTAAACCCTTAACCCTTAACCGTAAACCCTTAACCTTAACCCCTAAACCCTTAACCCTAAACCCTAAACTGTAAAACCTTAACCTTAACCCCTAAACCCTTAACCCTTAACCTTAACCCCTAAACCCTTAACCCTTAATCGTAAACCCTTAACCTTAACCCCTAAACCCTTAACCCTAAACCCTTAACCGTAACCCCTAAACCCTTAAACCTAAACCTTAACCCTAAACCCTAATCCTAACCATATGATATTGATGATATTTTATATTTTACCAAAATAGCCCAAATCCAATCCGATCCAAAATAAATTTCGGTTTTTAATTTTCAAATCCAATCCAATATATTTTGAAAAATAACGCTTTCATAATTCGGTTATTTCGGGTTTTTGGATCCGAACAAGGTCAATCCGATCCGATCTGATTTAAAGTTTGGATCCGATCCGAATTGATAATTCGGTTTGGATTGGATTGGATTTCGGTTTCAATCCGAATAATGGACACCCCTAATTGTTTATGCTTTATTTTCCATCGGACTGGAATGATAAAACCTTTTTTTTTTTTTTTTGGTTTTATTGTTATTTTAAAATGTTTTCGTTTTTTGTTTTTGTGTTTAATAAATTTTAGGGGTCCAAAAAAAAAAAACCGACCCAAAAGGAATACTACGGAATCAAACTGGTTCAATCGACAATACAAAAACCTTTAAAATTTATAACTGGCTTACATAACACATCAAACAATAATGAAGTTGAGCAACATAAATTAGGCAACACTATCTTTAGCTACTACGATAATCATTGAAATTACAACATCCCTGACATAGTCAACTACATAATACCCCTATTTCAACTTAATACACTGCTAATTTAACTTAATACACTTTTAATTTAACTTAATCTCAGTTAATACACTACTTAATTTCACATTGTTAAC